TCGCCAGCCCACGAGGATTTCCTTTTGGTTTCCTCAAATGCTAATTATGTAACAAGTTCTAATTCAGTTCATATGATTCACTTGAGCAGTAGGTGCTTCGGTTACTTTATAACTGTCAAAAGGGATGTGAAGTCTCTCTTCTTCCTCCAAAACAATCACGCTGTGTGCCCAGATCCTTTGCGTGCAGTGTTCACGTCCACCTGTGCTGTGAGCGAGGTTGGACTCAGAGCCACCACCAGCAGGTCTGTTCCTGTCCTGTGAATACAGAGGATGAGTATTAAGTCATTCGCTCACCAGCACAACTTGAGCAGATTTCTATATGCCTGTGAGAGTAGTCTCCAACTAAGAATACACGCTGAAACTCTGACAGCCCCAAATGCTGATAAATGCATTGGACCAGGATCTGGTTGAAGTGGTGTGTTTTCAAGTCCTTTAGCTCACATGGATAAGAGCAAAGGTTATTTTGTGTCTGAAAACAAACATATTTCTGGAATAATTAATACACAATCTCCTAAACCTTATTTCTGGAGAAAATCACATATACTGTCTTTATTGTAAATGCTTTTTCTTAAATTACATGAAAGAAGCATACAAAACAAATCTGTGGACAAATCCGAACTCCAGAAATCAAACTCTTTTTATTTCCATTAACTCAAAGAATTTCTATGAAAGGAAATCCTTTTCAGGGGGGTTCTTTCAGCTGGGTGGGTTGCGGGAGGCAAGACCATGACAGCATTCCCTCCAGAGGCTGTGAGATCACCATGGTAACTGCCCCTTCCCTATCAATAAGCAAGAGCTATAGACATCAATATTCTGAAAAAGCAGCCGGGCTCGGTGGCTCAGCCTGTAATCCTGCGCCTTTGGGAGGCTGAGGTGAGTGGATTGCCTGAGCCCGCGGGTTCGAGACCCGCCTGGGCAGCGAGACCTCATCTCTACAATAAATCAAAAAATCAGCCGGGCGTGGTAGCGCATGCCTGTAATTCCGGCTACTTCGGAAGGTGAGGTGGAAGGATCGCCGGGAGCCCAGCAGGTCGAGGCTGCGGTGGCCGGGAGCGGCCACTGCCCTCCTGTCTGGGCGGCCGAGTGAGACTCCAGCTCAAAAAAAAAAAAAAAAAAAGAAAAGAGGATGAACGGGGAGGTGAAGGGATGTGAGCTGGCTGTGGGGACTGAGGGACCCTGCCATGGAAAGCACAAGTGGCAGGCCAGGAGGCCTCTTGTCCCTTCTAGTTCTGGTGGCCTAAGCCCTGTCCAGGTCTAGAGGATAGGCGGGTGTGGTGACAGGTTTGCAGATTTCCAGCTGCCCAGGCATGGGCTTGCCCTGGGGGCGGGCTGCAGGACAGCCCTGCCCTGGACCACATGTTCCTGAACTTTCCTAGAGGCTTGGGATGGGGAGGATTGTTCAGAATGATGCATTTGCAAAAGCAACATTTGCACATGGCAAAAACTATTCAAACTAGTACACATGTATACCATGAACAGCACTGACTCTGTTTTGGGGAGCCTCTGTCCCAAAGCAGCCACTATTGACAGCTTGCTGTGTGAGTGAGCATCCTGGTTCTTTCTGTTGCTGGCTGTGTGACTTTGGTCATATCACCAAATTTCTCTGGGCCTTGATATTCTCATCTATAAAATAGAGATACAAAAGCAAGAGACTCATGGAATTATTGTGAGGAATAAATGAAGTGATATCTGGAAAGAACACTGCCTGGCCTATGGTAAGGGATGAGTTAGCTGTTATTGCAGTTATGAATTACTGTTTAGACTTGTACGTATCACATACACACACCACCCCTCCAATGGCATTCTTTCTTTCTTTCTTTTTTTTTTTTTTGAGTTGGAGTCTCACTCTGTTGCCCACGGTGGAGTGCAGTGGCACACTCACAGCCACACTAGCATCCACCCGCTGGGCTCTGGTGATCCTCCTGCCTCAGCCTTCCAAATAGCCAGGACTACAGGCATACACTGCCATACCTGGCTAATTTTTGATTTATTGTAGAGATGAAGTCTCACCAAGTTGCCCAGGCTGGTCTCGAACCCCTGGACTCAGGCAATCCTCTCGCTTCGGCCTCCCAAAGTGCAGGGACTATAGGCTGAGCCACAGAGCCTGGCTGCAATGGTTTTCTTTTGTTTGTTTGTTTGTTTTTTGAGTTGGAGTCTCACTCTGTCGCTCAGACTAGAGTGCAGTGGACACTCCCAGCCACCGCAGCCTCGACCTGTTGGGCTCCGGCGATCCTTCCTCCTCAGCCTTCCAAGTAGTTGGAACTACAGGTGCGCGCTACCACGCCTGGCTAATTTTTTGATTTATTGTAGACATGAGGTCTCGCCAAGTTGCCCAGGCGGGTCTCGAATCCGTGGGCTCAGGCAACCCACTTACCTCAGCCTCCCAAAGGCACGGGATTACAGGCTGAGCCACCAATCCTGGCTTGCAATGGTTTTCTTAAATGACAGGAGGCTGGAGGAGGTGGCTCACACCTGTAAACCCAGCACTTTGGGAGGCCGAAGCAAGATGATTGTCTGAGCCCAGGGGTTTAAGAACAGTCTGGGCAACTTGGCGAGACCTCTTCTCTGCAAGAAGTAAAAGAAATTAGCTTGGCGTGGTAGCGTGCGCCTGTAGTTCCGGCTACTTGGAAGGTTAACTGTGCCCTTGCACGCTAGCCTGGGTGACAGAATGAGACTCCAACTCATAAAAAAAAAATTATCTCCAGGCCCCAGTCCTTGGGCACACTGGCCACGTGCCATGTACTCATGGCATAGGCGTCTGTAGCGACACTAGACTAACGGGCAGTCCCGGGATTCAAAGACAGCACGCAGAGGAGCTGGGAGGCAGGACAAGGAGGGTGGCCCTGGTTGCCGAGGGTGGAGAGAAGGTTGAGTGGACCGATCACAGCGGACTTGTAAGGCCCTGAAAATACTGTGTGACAGGATCATGGTAGGTACCTGTTGTCAAGCGTGTGTCAAAACCCACAGGATGTTCAACAACAGGAGTGAACCCTGATGTAAACTAGGACTTGGGGTGATGACAGGCCATTGCAATTTCATCAGTGGTAAGGAATGTCCCGCCTGGTGGGCGGTGCTGAGTCCAGGAGCTGCTGTCCACGAGTGGGGGGCAGGGCCTGTGACACCTTTCCATTGTTTATGCTCCTAGCCAGGCTGGGTGGCTCAGCCTGTAATCCCGCACCTTTGGGAGGCTGAGGTGAGTGGATGGCCTGAGCCCGCGAGTTTGAGACCCGCCTGGGCAGCGAGACCTCACCTCCACAATAAATCAAAAATTCAGCCGGGCGTGGTAGCGCACGCCTGTAGTTCCAGCTACTCGGAAGGCTGAGGCTGACGGATCGCTGGAGCCCAGCAGGTCGAGTCTGCGGTGGCCGGGAGCGGCTACTGCACTCCAGTCTCGGCGACAGAGTGGGACTTCAACCCAAAAAATAAATAAATAAAAATTAAAAAAAAACATAGTTTATGTTCCATTTTGCTGTGAACCTAAGACAGCTCTAAAAATAGAGTCGTTACATATGAAAACACCAGAAACAAAAAAAACAACAACCAAAGCAAACGCACACAAAAATAGGCACGCTTCTTCAACAGCCCATCTGCATGTGTGGCCTGGCAGAAAAGGCGGAGCTGTGGAAAAAGTGCCGGACGAGTGATTTGTCCACTGCATTCACAATACCCCGCTCCAAGTTACAGTATCTTATGGAAATGTGCTCATGTCATTTGCACAAGGCACATACATGCCCAAAAAACGATACCTGTTAAGCTTAATGTTCGCTCAAAAGACGGTATTCATCAAATGAATGCTAGTGAGTCCATGCCACAGGCAGGACAGTCCAAGAAAGTGGCAGAAGCACAGCTGAGCGAGCGTCCGGCTACACATTACTGCGGGGACTCAGCTCAACTTGGAAAAGTCATACCTGGGCAACATATCGTAAAGTGTGTGGATGTGGTTGGGCTGGTGGCTCACGCCTGTAATCCGAGCACTTTGGGAGGTGGAGGCGAGAGGACTGCCTGAGGCTGCGGGTTCGAGACCAGCCTGGGCAACTTGGCAAGACCTCGTCTCTACAAAACATCAAAAGATTAGCTGGGCGTGGGGGTTCCAGCTGCTCCCAGCAGGCTGAGGCTGCGGTGGCACGAGCAGCGTGCGGCTGCACGCCAGCCTGGGCGACAGAGGGAGACTCCGACGCCAAAAAACAATCACCTAGGTGTGTGTACGTTTTCCCGGCCCCCCCTGCATTGGCATACGCTTTAATTTCCGCGCATTTACCCGTGAGCGCCTCCTTCGGCCGTCCACCTCCGGGGTAGGGCCTGCGACCTCGGATTCGGGAC